CCAGGACTCTGGGGTGAGTCTAAAAATATTTTGATTATATAATCCTATTTCTAACATATGTTATTTTATAATTTTAATATTATAATAGACAAATTGAAAAAATAGAAAAGAAAAAGACAACTGGTCATGTTTGCATTTCACAGACAAAATCACTGTCAACATTCTAGCATATTTCCTCTTCACACTTCTCTGCTGTTTTTGTTCCCTACCACATCATGAAGTAAATAAAATATAGACTGAACGTAGCTTCTGGAGAACCCCTAACAGTATAGAATAAACAGCGTAGTAGTGTCTGTTCTGGGGAGTTGCAACCTTGAGCACTGCTAAGGTCCCTATGTAATAAAAACGTCTCCCCAGGAATCATCTGCTTTTGTGGGTATGAGAAGAGAAGAGTGAATGTAATTAATGCGTCGCGCTAAGGCCCACGTGTCATTTAGCAGTTGTTCAGGCACCTTTAAACGTCATCGTGGAAGTATAAATTTATATAAACTTTTAGTGGAAAATTTGGCAGCTTCTACAAAATTATAAATTGAGTACGGCTTTTGCACAATTCTATTTTTTTAATTTTTAAAAGATTTTATTGATTTATTTGACACAGAGACCATGAGCAGGGGGAGCGGCAGGCAGAGGGAGAGGGAGAAGCAGGCTCCCTGCTGAGTGGGGAGCCCGATGTGGGGCTGGATTACAGGACCCCAGGGTCATGACCTCAGCCGAGGGCAGACGCTTAAGGACTGAGTCACCCAGCCACCCCCATAATTCTGATTTTAGAAAGATCTTTAGAAATATCTGAACCCGTGTACAAGAACGCTCATGAGCCATCAATACGGAGCTGAAAACAAGGATCCACATGAATCGTGGTTGACTAGACACACTGGACTCAATTCAAGAAACGAGCGCTGCACATATCCAAAAGGAGGTGGACATGAGCAAATATTGAAGCAGTCACAAAATACTAGTAAGTACAGGAAAACGCAGAGTAGTACGCTCGTATCCGTTTGCCTGTGCAAGCAATTTGAAGGAAAATATACACCAAAACATGGACAACGATTAAGGGACAAGGGTCAAATTATAGAGAACTTTTGTTTTATATTTGTTATACTTTTGCATTAATTCAGTGTCTTACAATGATAAATTATAATTAGAAAGTTAAAGTCTTTATATTTTTCTTTACTAGAAAATTATGGGGAAAAAGAACATATTATTCAAAGGAAAGATTTGTTATTCAATTCCTTAAAACGATCTCAGAAGACAAAACATTTCTCAGCAAGTCATGGGGTGATTCATAAATCCTAAATTGGTTGGTAAAATAAAAGCCTAAATGTTAGGTATGTAAAATGGGAACAGGAAGACACCACAATAAGGACTCAAAGTGACTACAAAATTTGAAGTTTAAGTATACGTTTTGGAGAAATTTACATAAACCACTTTAAATAGAAGACTGGTTTTGGGTGCCACCCTCCAGTTTAGCAGTCACACTAGATCATGGCAGTTCCAGGCAGCATGTACGTGGAGCCTGAATTCTGAAAACTGTCCTAGAGCCTCTAAGTGGAAGCCATCCAAGTTGTTATTAATGGCAAGATCAAGACAGAATGCATTTGGTTATTAAATTACCTTTGGAAAGTGAACAGAAGTCAGGTTAGTATCTTTTTATTCTATCTTAAATACCTGTGAATAATTATAATCTAGACCAAAAAAATTACGTTGTGTAACTACTTCAAAACCTTTATATTTTCTTTCATTATAGATATCATTGTCTGGATTTTGAATAGGTGAGTGCTTATGTTTCTCTAGAGTATATGTTAATTGAAAACAACCAAGCTGACCTCCTCATGGGGGGCAAGAACTCCTGTTTCCTCACCTTTGGAGATGAACTGGATGATAATCAAGGACTCAAAAAATCGTTAGAGCTACAATGTCCTTGAGAAGCCGTCTGCTTCATTATTTTAGTCATAACATTGTTGTCTATGCTAGAGTAATCTAATGATAGTCTTTTTTTTTTTTTTTAAGAGAGGGAGAGGGAGGGGGATGGGGGAAGGGTAGAGGGAGAGAAAGAAAGAGAATCCCAAGCAGGCTCCATGCCCAGTATAGAGCCCAACGTGGGGCTCAATCTCACAACCCTGAGATCATGACCTGAGCTGAAATCCAGAGTCGAATGCGTAACTGACTGAGCCCCAGGTGCACCAATCCAATGACAGTCTTAACTACTTGGAGTTCAAATGATTTTAGGAGAAATGAATTGGTTACACAGCAAGTATAATTCATGTTCTGAAGAATAAAGGCCTTATAAAAACTCTACAAGTGATAACTATTGTATTAAAAACTTTTAAAAGTTAACTGTAACACAATACTCTTACTAATTAATTTCAAATTTTAACCCACTATCAAAATACTTGTATTTTTAGTGCTAGGAACCACAATAATTATCTGGGTCAACAGTGAGTTATATTTGATAATCTGTGTAGACAGTGATTAAAATCATGGCAAACAAAGTGAAACAAGTGAACAACTGTGAGACTCTCCAATGGCATCTGTGCGGGCCAACTGCCTGTTTGCCTTCAAACTAATCTCACTGCCACCTTCTTGCCCTGTCTCATACGTACATTGTGCTCTTTCCCATGGCTTCTGAGTAGATTTGGTGAGTGGCAGACATTGTTGGAAGACTCAGTGACCAAAGGAAGACAGAAGCTAGGGTACCTCTCTCCACCAAACCCGTAGTATATGCTCCACGGTTCCAGAGCCGCCTCCATTGCTAACTTCAGTCTAGTACTGGAGCCCCAGATGTACCAGTCAAGCTTGTTCTTACTTTGAAATAGCCTTGATTTTGTTATGGGGCCAAGTTTACTACAGGTTACTGGAAAAGAAGGATGGATTTTCTTCAGAATCAGAAAATTCTCTCTGTCCTGGAATAAGGAACTTTAGGTAGAACATTGCTGTTAAGACACAATAATTAGCAACTGTAAAGAAGTATAAAAGTTATAGAAATGTCTATATTTATTATCTTCAAATTACTGTGGACTTTTCAGTCTTGTTTACAACATGCAAAAGTGAAACTAAGGTATAAGTCATACCGTCGTATTTCTACATCAGCTATGAAGCATCTGTGGGTGCTTGCTGAAAATGAAAAAAAAAATAGAAATTTTGTCTGTTTCTCAAAGTAGGCTAATTGCTTGAGGAGTATTTCTTTTGTTTCTGAACACAGATGGTGACTTTGGAAGCTCATGGAGATAGAAGTGGTAGCAACAGATAGCCATCTCATATTCTAGGTTCTGGGTTAATGAGAATCCAGAGCATGAAGAGTTGGAAAAGTCTGCACAATAGTAGGCTCAATTACAGTATATCTCTGCTGTCCTGTTAGAAAATTCCTCTTGCGTAAACTGTATTGGAGGCAGGGGATTTCAACCATTTCTAGAAAGTTAAGCACACATTCTCACCAGATAACATTTTAATTTTGATTTATGCTGGCAGTAATCGTGCACTATAACCCCCATACAGGAGGACATAAACGATGACTTAGACTGCATGACTTAGTTTTTCAGATCTGAAGGTCTTCTTTTAAAAATCAGTGTTCATAGACCTAATGAAGGACCTAAATAATACAGTATTCTTTAGGTGACTACAGTTCTTGAATTTTGACACAGAATTTTCATCTTCCTAAAATGTCTTACATATTTTCTGTAGTGTTCTGACTCCTGTTTTCCAGGATTTCTCTATTATATGAGCCATTATATCAAGACACTCTCATCTTCATTTACATCATCAAGAAGGCAGGAGGAAACGTAGATGCTTGTATTTTTCATGTCTAATTAGGATTATTGTTCATTAATTCAGATCAGATCAAATAATTTCTGCATTTTTCCCTTCAAACTGTTTCATTTTATTTCTTTTATAGTCTCATCGGGGGTTCGCTTGTCATCCAACCACTTAGCTTTCTGGCCAACCTATTTGCCTTCATTGGCTGGATTCCTCAAAGTTCTATTTTCTGCCAGTTTTGTATATTTAGTATACCCTCTTTGTCTGCATCCGCTGTCCCACATCTCACGATTTGGCAAAGCCACTAAAGTTTTATTTTGATTTCTCTCCATCTACCAACTTGCATGCAGTGTTGATTTACTAATATCAAGCCTCGTAAGTCTGTTGCTAGAACACCAGCTTGCCCTCACTGACAGGAATTCCCAAAAGAGCTAAGAACTACCATTGAACTGAAACTATTTCTCTGCTCTGCCTTAAGAAAACGAGTGATCCTCTTATCACCCTGGTTGCATTTTCTTTCTTGGTTTCTAAAGTGGTTTGTCCCATCGACAGACCAGTTGGTATGCTCGGTTTAAACCGGCACGTGTCCTATCTCACTGGCTTTAACAATACGCCTTCCTTTGCTTTGCAAAAACATCTAATTCATCAAGAACTGATGCCTCAATTCACAAGAGAACTTTATCACCACATCAGTCATCTCTCCCGGGATCCTTCTCTGAAGCTTGAACACCTGAGTTCCTGTGCCTTAAACTGTGGTTAATTACATCACCTAGCACTTGAGTCAAAGGGCAGCAGCAACGCCTCCTCAGCATCAGTGCCTATGTCGCTCAGCGAGGGAGGACTGCTCATCCGGACGGTCTCCTCCCCAAGTCGAACATCCACGAACAAAAAGGATGTGTAAACACTGATAATTTCCTAAAGGGAATACGGTTAACAAATTTTTATAAATTTTTGAATAGCGGTTTCTGTCATGTACAACTAGTTTTTTCCCTTATAGAGCGTTACCACAGCACTTCACTTTTACAAATATATCTACTTTATTTCCCAGAGAAAGGTCTGACTGTCGTGACCACTTGGAGATTACAAAAGCATTTTCCTGGAGTTGAAATACATGCATTTCACTGAGTACTACTTTTATTCAGTCAGATTACTGTTTTGAATATACTATAAGAAAATAGATAAGCAATAAACAATGTGAAACTTTCAGATTAACTATCATGTGATTTACTATGTTTTCTTGATGTTCTTAGAATTTCACGGTCCTTCCTGGTGTCTGACTCCAGCAGACAGAGGATTGTGTCACGCCAATGAGAGCCGATTCTACTACAATTCCGTCATTGGGAAATGCCGCCCATTTAAGTACAGTGGATGTGGAGGGAATGAAAATAATTTTACTTCTAAAAAAGCATGTCTTAGGGCTTGTAAGAAAGGTAAAAAGGACATTCTTCCCATTAATTCACTAGTGTTTAAGATAATAATTGCACTGAAATTATGAACAAATTTTAATATAAGAAAAATATTATGATATTAGTTCCACTTATAATAAACAAAATATTATAATTTAGGTAATATATGTCCCCTTTTCAACTACTTTTAGATGATATTGCCGGAGATATTAACTACAATTCCTCATAATGTGTCTTTCACAGAAAAAATAATCTACTTGAAACAAAACATTCTATTTTTTAATATTTACATACTAAGGTTTCATTTTAAATTATACCAAAATATTTTTAAGCTGTCTTACAATGCACAACATTTAAATGTAGCTACTGACTTTCTTCTGAATATTAAAATGATGCAGGTTTACAGAGTATTAACATAAAAGTAAAAATCACACCTAAGTCCACCAGTCATATTCAGCCACATGTTTGCTTTAATAAAACGAGCATGAGTTTCTGACCGAAGATGAGAAATAAAAGTCAGAAGCATGCTTATCCATTTTTGCTCATTCTTCTATATGTGAAATGACTTCCTTAGAAATAGCTTGTTCTGCATAAAGACTAAAGCTTTTAAGCCAATTTTTTTTGGTTTTATATATTTAAAGATAATTTGAGAAAATTTTAAATAAAATGTTTTATTATATTACTCTGTTTTGCATAATAAATTTGTTTCTCTTCCTTATGTAGGTTTCATCCAAAGAATATCAAAAGGAGGATTAATTAAAACCAAAAGAAAAAGAAAGAAGCCGAGAGTGAAAATAGTGTATGAAAAAATTTTTGTTAAAAAAGCATAAATTTTGTTACATTATTGTATCAGTTCTAAATATTCTGGATGAAACTTTTCACTATATTTTCTTTCCCAAAATCCTTTTAATGACTATTTCCATGAATTTTCTATGTACATATTAACCACTATTAATAATTTGTATCAGAATTAACTTCTTTATGTAATCAAAGTGCATATTCAGGGGCTGAGTACTATGAATTTACTTACTCTCTCAATCCCTCTCTATTTCCCATTGACTACAAGTTGTCATATTACTGACCACATCCAATCAGTCCAATTTTACCTTTGGTATCAGTTGCTCGAAAATATGGTGTCATTTATTTGTTTTGATGATGTAGATGATGATCTCCTTTATTGCCTATGCACAGATTAAAAAATATAGCCATTAAAGATCAAACACCCTTTGGATTTCACATCTGAAATGGTGACAAGCACTTTCTTCTGCAAGGATTGGTCAGTTGAGCGTTGAGGGAGAGCTGGTGATGGTACAACCCATCATGTGCCTCCCTCCCTGGACGTAACTCTTCTCCTTGTTCGTAAGCCCGTGCCTCAGATCAATCTCGAGCCAAACCATTATCAGAACGAAAAGAGTCAACTCTATCATGTGCCTGATTTTGATTAACTATTTTTTGTTGGTTTATGACCCATTATATTAGTAAAAATGGTTGAATAGTTGTGTGTTAAGTACAGATCATGGTAAGAAGAGGCTTGGTGGAAAGGGAAATTTTTAATGGTAATCAAAAGGAAATTGTTCGTGTACATCCCAAATTCATTATTTAACAAAGTTTTCTCTTACCCAAAATTGTAAAAATATTTAAACCTGCTGAAACCTACTTATTTATCCTTAGGCTCTGCACGTAGTACAACCCAGTAAGTCATGTTTAAGGTGGGGGAAAAAAAAGTCATGTTATTTCTGTCGAAGAGGAAGATTCTACTAGAAAAATCTATGTGATATTCCCTCTCAGTGGCCTAACCTTTCCTTGGAGTTCATTCTGTTCCTCCAGATCTAGACCTTTCCTTCCCGGCTCAGCTGTTGCCGTGCGGATCTCCACAGCCTCCCGGACATTCCAGTCTCTTAGCGCTCATCTCTAGCTTTGCATTTAAATGTGAACTTGCCATCTAGAAGCAAGTAACCATTTCATCTACTTAGTTTAGCTTTATGACTTTTCTCTAGCAGTAGTGTTATAATTTTGCCTGTTCCTCAGTCTTGAAAGTTTGAAGCCAATTTTGACTTCTTATTTTTCTTCATATATATATGTATGAAGAAAAAAATATATATATCATCAGTCTCTGAACACTATTGCTTCCTGTTTCATAACCTTCAGCTCCAGGCTTTTTGCCCCTATTGCATTCTTCACATCAGTACTGGTTTAATTCCTAAGAATTAATTCAATATATTTCTCCACCTCTCAGAATCCATCAAGGACTCACTAGTTGGTACTTAACCTCATCCCATTCCCCACAATTTTATTTTGATATGTATTTTTTTGGATTTAACTACTGCCCTCTTTCTTGAGTTTCAATTTAGTTAAAAGGGTATGCACTATTCACTGAATACATCTTTAATTACTCAACTTATTCATGCTGATTTCCTACCTAAAAATGTGATCTTTTCTCAACTTTCCACATGAATTCAGGGTCCAGCTCATGAGCGCTATAAAATCTACATAGTTCTGAGGCTGAATATGAAGTCCTAAGATATAATTATAAATCATTTTCATCCTATGACATAAAAATTATATCATTATAAAATAGTTCACTTAATTTTATATCTTGATTTCAAATAGAATACATACACACAATATATACATAAGTAATAGTCTTAAACTGAATGTTTGCTGTGGGATTTGAGACTTTGGGAAACCAAAATCCCTGTGCAATATGCTTTCTTGTCATTTATACCCTTAAATAAAGGGTAATGTCTCCTTAGGTCAAGTGATTAGTTGCTACCAACAACGTATAAATAACACAGTAGTGAGTTGGACGTTTTCTCCAAAAACCATCCATGGATTCATTACATAATCAAGAAAGACTCACACTGAGATAGTTTGCAATGTTTAATTCACAAGAATATTATTTTTGCTGTATTTTTAGATAAGAAGCTCTCTGGTGGTACTGTCTTACTTTGTTTTACATAATCAAATACATCTAACTGTGAATTTTATATAGAATTACATTATACAGCATTTATATATATTTACCAACTTTGTTTATTCTGTGTTCAAAATTAACAAATCATGCTGAAAACTGCTCAAATGATTTTAGTTTTTACATTACAAGAAATAAAATATTATCCTGAATAATGAAGTGTAACTGTTACGAAGTTTTTTATACTTCAAAAAATTTTAGTGTTCTTCAGTTATTACAAAGATTGAGACCTAAGACAAAGAAAAAAATTGTTCCATAAGCTTCAGTTGACTTTTACCTCCCTTATTGGAATTTGCTAATAATCTCCTTTCAATTACAAATGTGCATTCATATACTAGGACTTCTTATTTGTTAAAAAAATTAATTATTATGCCTTACAATGCGTACTCCGTTCCATATGTATTTCTACAATCATCTCCTACAGTTATATAAATATGACATACATATTTAAATATATATCATTAATATACATATTTTATTTAATATACATATTTATTTAATATACATATACAGATTTTATAAGTGACTTCCAATCTTGACTAATAAAGGTGTCATGGCCCATTTCCATGCCAGAAGGAGGAAGAAAATGACATTAATCAACTATTTAGGAGAAATCTTGAGTTATTTTATAAAATGTTCCTGTTTGTCTCCTTTTTATGAAGTTATTATTTGAATTTAGTTTACAACTTTTGACTTTCAGTTCTTTCTCAAGAACTTGAGCGTGAACACACCTGAATTACTTTTCTTGTACTCTGCCCCACAGAATATCAGTCCCTTGGGGCCAATCTCTGAATTACAACCACGTAGCTGGTGTCTTGGCTAGAATTATGCAGAGCACTTTTTAAGGGAGTAGTGATACATGGTAATTCATTTCACCAAAGAGAGAGAAGGAGAGATGTGAACACATTTGGTCATCTAATGTAATAAAATAGAGCATTAGGACAATGAATAGGATTTCCTCATCCAAAAATTCGGATCCCCAAGGTTTGAAACAAAATGGGGATATATTTGATCACAAAATTAGAAAGGCCAAAGTTATTTTACTTCAGTATAGATGGACTCAGGTGCTCAGTCTATCTTTATTCCTGATTCTTCGGCCCAGCATTTTTTGCCTTTATTTTTTAATCTTATAGGGTTACAAGATGACTTCTAGGATTTAAGGTTCACATCCTCTCAGATAAATTTTTTTTAGAAAAGTTTATACTCTCTTACCTCAAAGAACTGAAGTCTTGGCCTCAGGCATGATCCATGAAAGAAATCACTGGCCAGCCAGACTTCATTAAAACTAAAATCTTTTGCTCTGCAAAGGATAATAAAAGATATTAGAAAACAAGCCATGAACTGGGAGAAAAATTTCAAAAGACACATTTGATAAGGGACTGTTAACCAAAATATATAAAGAACATTTAAAACTAAAGAATAACAATGCTATTTAAAAAAAAAAAAATTGGTCAAAGACCTTAGCAGACATCTCACCAAAGAAGAGCTACAAATGACATAAGCTTATGAAAAGACACTCCGCATCATAGGTTGTCAGTGAAATACAAAGGACAACCATGAGCTACTACTTCACATCCACTGGAATGGCTAAAACCAGTACATGGACATGACTGAATTCCAGCAAATGCATGGATGGAGCAGGCACAACCCTACTTGTTACCGGTACAAACGCAGAATGGTTAGCCACTTTGGAAACCAACTTGGCAGTTAAAACAAAAGTAAACACGCTCTTACTATACCATTTAGCAATCAAGTTCCTTGTATTTACCCAAATAAGATAAAAATGTTTGTCCACACAAAAGCCTACACAGATATTTGCAGCAACTTAATCCATAATGGCCATAACCTGGAAGCAACCAAGAGGTCCTTCAGCAGAGGAACGGATGAACGGTGTTACGTCACGACAATGGAATATTATTCAGTGTCAAAAAGAAAAGCGCTACAAAACTGTGAGAAGACATGGAAGAATTTTAATGAATATTATTAAGTGAAAGAAGCCAAACTGGGAAGTCTACGTGCTTTCGGAGCCCCAATATGTGGTGTTGTGGGAAAGGGAAACTGGAAATGGTAAAAAGATCCTAGTTCCGAGGGGTAGGGAAGGGAGAAGGAATCGGCAGAGCACAGGATTTTCAAACCAGTAAAATCCTCTGTGTGTTGCCGTAATGAGGGAAATTGGTCATTACAGGTCATTATATCTCCAAACCCATGGATTGTACAACAGGAGTGAGTCAATGTAAGTTATTGGGTGACTATCACAGGTCAGTGGAGGTTCATCCACTGGCACAAATGTACCGCTCTGCTGGGGGATTCGCTACAATGGGGGAGGCCATGCACATGTCATGGTAGGACATGTATGGGAAAGCTCTGTATCTTTCCTTCAATTTTGCTGTGGACACAAAAACTCTAAGGAATTTTTCTTGTTAAAAAAAAAAAAATCCTGGCTGCTCTCTTTTTGACCCAAATATCTAATGGCCAGCCTTGACCCAAATATCATGCTTAGAGAAATGTGACTTTCTGATTAACCGGGTATGAGTCACAAGTCCACTCCGAACATCCTACTGGCATAAGCACTACCTGAAATTTGTGATCTGACTGCCAGGGTTGGGCCTAGAGTGAAGCCTCAGGCACAAAATTTGAGAAGACATAAAAAAAGTCAATAACCAACATCAATAATATTGCAATGCAGCATTTTTTAAAAATTAAGCAATTCTTGAAGAAAATATTGAACTTATTAACAAGGCAGGAACAGTAACAGCCATATTAGAATCTGAGGCAAGAGAAAAAAAAATCAGTAACACCAATGACTGTTAAGAATATAAAGATGGTTCACGTTTGGTCATTATTTAGTATAATAAAAAGTATTAACAGAAAAAAAACCCAAATAATCATTTAATAGATAAAGAAAGTTTATTTGGTCAAATTCAACACTTGTTTCAGGATTTAAAACTTTGAGCAAAATAAAGATCTTCTTTATCTAAGGAAGCATATCTACCAAAAACATACAACATGATGTGTAGTGATAAAATCTCAGAAACATCCCATGAAACTCAGGAACAGGACCAATGTGTTCTCCATTAACATCACTATTCAACATATCCAGGTAGTCTTAATTTTATACCAAAACAAAAAGAAACAGAAATTAAGCATAAATATATCAAAGTTATTTTCATACAATACGCTTAGCATAAGTGAAAACCCAGGGGCACCCGAGTGGCTCAGTCATTACGCATTTGCCCTCAGCTCAGGTCATGATCCCAGGGTGCTGGGATCCAGGCCTACGTCGAGCTCCCTGCTCCGCGGAAGCCTGCTTCCCCCTCTCCCACTCCTCCTGCTTGTGTTCCTTCTCTCACTGTGTGTGTCTCTGTCAAATAAGTAAATAAAATCTTTAAAAAAAAATAAGTGAAAATCTAGGAAAATCAAAAACAGAAATAACACAAGTGTGGCAAGATTGCTACATGCAAGTTCAACACATGAAATCAAGAGTATTTTTGTACGCTACACAGAAAAACGGGAAATACGTACTAGCTACAACAGAACAAAAACCCAAGTGTACGTAGCAGTAAATCCCATGAAAGATGTATACCAAAAAAATTTTTTAAATCCTTTAGAGAAAATTTCAATTTTCTCTAAATTCAAATGTTGAGGGACATAGAAAGAGCTAAATATTCTATTTATTGTAGCCCTTCGTGTCTGCAAAAAAAAGGACACAAGATCCTTTGAGATTGTGAAGGAAGAAAATGTAAAATACGTAATCATTTTTTTTTCTGAGAGAGCGAGCGAGCCCCCAAGCAGAGGGTGGTGGGAGGTTGGGGTGGGGTAATGGGGAGAGGGAGAGGCAGAGGGAGAGAACCCCAAGCAAACTCTGTGCTGAGAGTGGAGCCTGATGCTGGGTTGGATCTCACAACCCTGAGATCATGACCTGAGCTGAAATCAAGAGTCAGTCACCTAACCAACTGAGCCACCCAGGAACCCCAATACATAAGCATTTTCGAATTAAGAAATGGAGAAGAAAATCTCTATTATAAAGAGAAAGAGGCATATGAATGGAAATTGGAGAGTAAAAGGGGCGCCTGAGTCTCAGTGGGTTAAACGTCTGCCTTCGGCTCAGATCACAATCCTAGGGTCCTGGGATGGAGCCCCACAGCGGGTCCTTGCTCAGCAGGGAGTCAGCTTCTCCCTCTTCCTCTGCCCCTCCCTCTGCTCGTGCTCCCTCTCTGTCAAATAAATAAATAAAATCCTTTTCAAAAATTGGATTGTATGGGGCACCTGGGTGGCTCAGTGGGTTAAGTCTCTGCCTTCGGCTCAGGTCATGATCCCAGGGTCCTGGGATAGAGCCCCACATCGGGCTCTCTGCTGGGCAGGGAGCCTGCTCCCCCACCACCACCTACCTCTCTGCCTACTTGTGATCTCTGTCTGTCAAATAAATAAAATCTTTAAAAAAAAATTGGATTGTAAAAACTGAGAAAACTAGGAAATCAATTCAGGAGCCTAATCTTGAAGCAATAGAAAGTCCAGAAAAATAGAGGGGCTAAAAGAGAGGGGAGAGAGATCTTAAAGACGGAAACAGGGTAGGTTTCCTTTATGGAGATGGTGCCCCATAACCAACAATGGAAAACCCCCAGCATCCCGCCTCCACGCACAGGAAATGTCAAATACTAGCAATGAAGAGAAGATTCCTAAAGGACAGAGGAGAGTGTGGGGGAATCGTCATGGAGAAACTGAAATAACGTGGAATTGTTCCTCTCAATGGCCAGAATGAAGTCGGATATGAAGTTCTGAGGGAGGACGCTAGCTATGCACTGGTAGAAAAAGGCTGCAGTGCTGACCGATCTTTCAAAGAGGTGCCTGGAGTACTTTTCTGGAAAAATAAAAGTTAATTAAAATAGACTCGTTTAATGCTTTCACCTTCCACCAGAGGCTTTGGGGAAAAGTAACTGAGTGTGACCTAAGACATTATTTTTTGTACCAATACTGACCCTACGTGGTGGTGAATTTGTCATCTAGTTTCTTTAGCCTCACATTTACTCATACTTGAAACGAACGACTGAGCTGGACTGCCTGTAAGGATTCTCCCAATGTTGGCATTTTAGGGTTTTACGGTAATGTTCTCTACTTAAAAGCATTCAACGCCAATACAT